GTAATAATTCCAAGTTTTTGATGATTTCCTAGAGGAAGAAGATTTCCCACCTGTTAAGATATTTTCGGCTTTTAAAGATTACTTGTGGATGTGTAATTTGAAAGTTCGACGGCAGGAGTATTCGGGATAATCATGATATAGAATACTGTCGCTTATAGGAAGAACTTTTGTTCGATGAAAGATTTTAAAGGTTCAGATGTTTTTAACTGTTGCTACAAAGCCTCTGATGTGACTGATCAGTCCTTTGTTGAGGCGCAGCAATGGAACCAGGACGGCTTAAAACTTATTTAAAAGATATTATAAGAGGGTCTGCTTTATGTAGCACAAATGAGTGATTGAAATATGGGAGTTCAAATGTGAAGAAAGATAAATTAAGTAAGCTTCTAAAAGAACAATAAGGAGCATTATTGCGGAAAGATGCTAGAAGTTTCATGAGTGGAATTACAATACTGGTTGCGCTGGAATGTATAATGGCTTTGTCGTCAATTAGACTATTGAAGGCTTTTGTTGCTTAATTTTATGTGGCGTGGATCCCATATACTAATGATCTCATGAAAAAAGAGAATCCAGTTGTATCGCAAAACTATTTAAATGGAACTTACTTGCGGCTAAGAATTAACAGTCTGGTTTTCTTCACAGCGCTATAGCGTTGAAAAAATGCTTTCTTCTGCAGTTCTGATAATTGCTGTTTCGACCGTGTTGGCAGCTGCCGACAAAGCTGATGCGGGTATATATTGTGTGTGTAAATTTCATAGTACTTGCTTTAATGTTCTTTGAGAGCAGCAGTACAGTCGTAAGTTCCTCTAAAAGGCAATAACTTATCCTTATAATAGATACATTTGGCTTACAATAGGTAATTTAACATAGGATTCTGATTTTTCGGAGAAGAAAAAAAATTGTTTCTGCTGATTTTTCTACTGCCGTTCTTTCAGGCAGTCGAAAAAGTGGCCATTACAGTTATAAATGGCCACGACGTAAGTACCACTGGGATATTCATGAAAAATGGCCTGCGAAGGAGGACCACGAGCAAACCAAAGATGGTTTTTCCGATGATAAAAAGCAGGGTGGTGCAAATACAGATTTGAACAGAAGCAACTATTTTTTGAACTACGGAAAAAACAAAAATGACGGTGGTAGTGACGGCAGCAGTGTTGATGACGACGAACGGCAACGCAGTCGCAGTAAACAGGATATAAACCACCCATACGAATATGATTGGTATAAGCTGTTGCGCGCCGACGATAAAGATCCAGCAGAAAAGCTATCTGGAAAAGTGAAGAGTCAGGAAAAACAGAGATCAAAAAGTGATGAGAACGATGACGAAGATTAGGAAAAAGATTTTGATTTTGGTTATTGGTACCGTTTGTAAGTAAGCCGAATAAAGTAGAACTTAACACATCCTAGTACAACTATAAAAACTCCAATGATGATCACAACTGTTCCGGTAATGAGGAAAAATAACGTCGGTAAAGAACTGCGGACAGAAACTGCTTTAAAAACCTGTGGCACCCGTACGGTGCTCCCCTGCTACTCCATCTTCTTTGGTGTTAATATGCGGTAAATCCAGCTAATTCGAGTCTTATTTCCAATTCTACGGCATTTTTTCTTCTTTTTAATTTACTGTTGTCTAACTGGATTCAAATAAAAATCAAGCTGCACTGTGGAATACTCAAACAATAAACATATGCCATACGTCGGTGAACCAAGTAGAGGTATTATAGAATCAAAGCAATATTTTTAGCGATATACTTTGGCACTTTTTTCTTGTTGGCCCAGTAGCGACAAGATAAAAAAATTTTTTACTTATACGGAATTAATCCTCCTTTTCTGTATACCTCTTTTGAACCTGATCTCTTCGGTTTCGCCCGTAATTCCAAGCAGCGTTTGAAGTAGTAAAACCAGAGACGGTTTAATGAGGACATCCAATATTGGAAGTTTGTTGAGATCCTGAACTTATTCAAAAAATGACGGTTTTAGACTATAATTTCTAACATATATCAACATTGTACAGTACGTTTAAATGAGAAACAAAAAAACTTGAGCTGAGAAAGAAATTTCGTTTTAGTGCGTGAATACTGAATTTCCGCAAATACGCAAAAAATGATATTGAAACAACATTTATAAGCTCTATTAAAAGGCGAATGTAATGATATGTAAATCAAGGAAGACAGCCAGATTAGATGTGTTACACTGTTGTTAAAGTCGATAACGATTCATGCATTTACCGGACTCTCTTAAGCTGACTTAAATGATTTTTTCATCAGCTATCCCCGTAAATTGGATATTCATTAAGCGATAATTAAGACTTTAAAGGACTAAAGTATTTTTGGTGAAAAAATTTTTGAAATGCATCAACATAATATTTCAACTAACAGTGAACGAGAGGCAAGTGGTTCTTCTGCACAGAACTTTCTAATAAACTTTAGAATGTTTGGCTTTAATTCATGTTCCATTTCAGATTACAGAGCTCAGCTTATTGCGCAATAAATTCAGTCAAAAACAATGAATTTTACAAGACGGCATTACCAAAGAATCAACGTAGGTTTCGAGCAAACTATGATTGATGATTACTGAAGGGACAAAAGATCTATTTTACAGAAGTGGAGTAATGATAAACGAACTCAATTTGCGCTTCTTTTGTTGCTTCTTACAAATTACTCATACGGTTGTAACGACCTGTAAAGAGCGCTCAGGGCACAATTAGAACAATGAAATTACAGGTACCAAGAAGAGGAATGTCAAAGAAAGGACTCATCGGCTGGCAATACCAGCAACAAATAAGCCAAAAATTGCGGCTCAATTATCATCGTTTGCATTTGCTAAAACTTCCTCTTCCTCCGCGCTCTTACGATTGGATCTATTCTTTTCTTCCCTCTTCTGTATTAATTCTGTGCATTGCGGTCATATTCAACTCTTCTTTATATTGTTGCAACGGTATTGGTTTACTGCCGAGTATGGCTGCTACTGCTTTTCAGTAGGCTTTGAGTAAAATGCGAAACTTCCTTTTTTTTACTGTATTTACTTCTGAGGATTTTTAAGCTTCTTTAAACTTTGTACCCGGTAATCTAATAAATTTTTTTCTGTAACCACTTTGACCTGGATTTAGAATAGATAATGGCCAAAATGAAGTGAATACTGAACTCGCTCGAATGATTTCCCAGAACCAGTACGGGCAAAAAAGAAAGGGGTTAGGGTTTTAGGGCTTGTTCTTGCAGGATCCATTGAAACAGGTTACTGCGCAATTGAGCTATCTGCAAAATTTCAAGTACTGAGTGTTACGGGCTAATACTCTAGTTCTCATATTTGTCGTGTACGTGTCAGAAAGGTTTTTCCTTGCTTCACTTACCACTTTTTGTAGCTTTAGTCTCGTTTCAACCCTCAATAGTGCTGGAATTAAAATCGAAAACGATGCTACCGTACTCACATGCCCTACAGAAAGGCGACACAGCAGGAGAGCAAACAAGCTCATTTTGAACTAGTCGCAAAGGCGCGTGAAGAGTGGAGAGCATGCCGATTTATATAATTTTTGGAGCATTCACAGGCGAAGAAGGTGAAATAAGAAGGTGAGTGCGGCTAAAGCTGTATTGAAATTGTAGGCATCTAAATAGTTGGGTGGGCAATTAAATAGTTTGGATAACTTCAGAATTCATTTCATTCAATCATAGTAGTCCAATGATACAAGGTACATTTGTGGCGGTTTTCATGAATGAATCTTATGTTCCTCCAAAATTCGGGCGAGCTCCATTCGAAAAATACAGCACAACGTGCTATTCAGTGTCTGTTAAACAAATCGTTGGATCGTGTAGAGAAGAAAGACAAAACTTGGAAATTCGGAAACTTTTAAAAACAACGAGTGTTTTTTTGAAGAAAAAATCTTAAATTTGTAATCTACCAGGAAACTGCGTAAAACACTAAAGTTTCGACGGTAACTAGTGAGTGAAAAAAGTGTCACCTTAAAGGTTCCGAGATCTTGACCGTGTAAAAAGTGAAATTTAGTGAGAAAAATTTCTTTAGAATTTGGCTGTTGCCATTAGAATTCATTAGATTGCATTATCCCCAAAGGGTAGTTATTCGGTTTGAAATCCGACTTTGAATCAGCCGACTCCATTTTGAGAACCAAAACTGAACATCATTAGTAACAGACAATCCAGAAAAAATTTTGGACAATATCAAATGAGTGATATGCATCAAGTGACGCTGAGCAATTAGGACTCACCTTACTCTGGTGCCAAAACTTTTTCAAAAGAGACGTCTCTAAGTCATCAATGAATTTTTAGCTTCTTTCTGACTGCTCCTGCACGATTATTTTAGGAGGGAAGGATGGGGGGAATGTAACTACAACTTTTGGCATATATCCAAAGGCTGCAGGGTGGTATTACCTAATCCAAAACGTTTGGGTCGCCGTAGCTAGTAGTCATTTTCAAAGTTTCGTAGTTAGGAGAGAGCTGGTCGGTGAACTTCCTACGGGCCAAATCAGAGAATCTCAGCTTATAATGTTGATAACAGGTATTTTGCCTTGCAAAGTTCATTACTGTTACTTGCTCTAAAAAACATTTTCGGTTTACAAGTTCTCTTGGTCTCAGTATGCAGGGTTCCTGACTTTTGCTTTAGCCATTTCGGAAGCTATTTCGGACGGATAGATATTCCGATTCTGAACCAACATCAGGTGCTGTCAGTGAAAAGCAAGTAAAAAACTTTTGGAAAAAGATGACGAATTTTGCTGAAGCCTTCTTTTGAGCGTTGATACATTGAAAAATAAAAGCATATATAAGGATAAATAAATAAATAAACAAATATATATATATATA